CAGCCACCACAGAAGCAAAAAGGGGTTTCACAACAACAAATCCAGATTCTGGGAAGGTGATCATCCGCCATAGATATATTAAGCCTTTATCATGCCTTTAAGACATACATACGTCTTAGCCAAGGGCACTACAAAGAAGCCCAGATCACTCTGGCCAGCCATCAACCCACATCTACTTAGGGCAAGGGCATGACCCAGCCACCTTCTCTTCTCCTTTTCCTTCCTTCTAGACTGAGTAACACTAGTCACGTAGTTAATCGGAATTGCATCCAAGCCCCCTCGTCACCCTGCCACCCCTGGTCGTTTCCGCAGAAATCTTCACAGCCCCCTCCCATTTCCTGACTCCTGCCAAACCCTGCCCCTCCTATGGCTCTGACTCCCGCTGGAGTGTTACCCCGAGCTTTTTACTACCATATCTATATACCCAAGTACACAAATATATATTTATATATAGTGCTGTCACTCCCCGCTCCCCACAGAGTGTTCCTCAAGCACCTAACTCATCCCGTCACCCTCTAACAGGAATCTTCACTGTCCAAATCACCTTTTTCCCAGACTCCAACTAGAGTTGGCCAACAAAGACCTGTTCCAGCATAGCCCTATATAAATATATATATATGGACTTTCGTTTATAGATATATATTTATATGGAGCGCTGTCACTCTTCGCTCTGGTCTTCGCTCTATCACAGAAGTCTCGTAATTGGCCCCTCCAGGCCTTAGATTACCCCATCATATATAAACAATTGATTCCCGTCCCTCCTTAAAGATCTGGGTACACTTGCCTAAGTACACCGATGCCTTATAGACGTCAATGCCACAGTCTTTCAGATCGCTCTCATAGAAGATCACATTGTTTCTGTCCAGCTGCTGGAAGGCCAGGAGACAGGAGACATCTGCTGTGTTTTCTCCATCATACTTTCTTCTGCTCTGCTGGATCTGAAAGCGGTGAAAGTGTGTGTACATCTGTGTCAGAGTCTTGGGAGATTCCTGCAGTGTTTCAGCATGAGCCCTGTGTTTCAGTTTCAGTATGTTCTGGAGAACAGTGGCTGAAATCCAGCAGAAGACTGGGATGTGGCACATAATAAAGAGACTCTTTGACTGTTTAATGTGATCAATGATTTCTCTGGCCTGATTCTGATCTGTAATTCTCTTTCTGAAGTACTCCTCCTTTTGGGCATCATTGAATCCTCATATCTCTTTCAGCCGGTCGATACAGTCAGCAGGAATCTTACTGGCAGCTGCTGGTCTACTGGTGATCCAGATGAGAGCAGAAGGAAGCAGATTTCCCTTGATAAGGTTCGTCAGGAGAACATCCAGAGAGACTGTTGAAGATACATCACGACACGTCTCATTACCAGCAAAGTTCAGAGGAAGACGACATTCATCCAATCCATCAAGGATGAACAGGACTTTGAATCGTGTGCTTCTTGTAAGGTTCAGTCCTTTAGTCTCTGGGAAAAACTGAGTTATGAGGTCTTTTAAACTTTCTCTTTCTTTCTCCTTTAAGTTCATCTCTCTGAATGGAAGAGGAAATATGAAGCTGATGTCTTGATTTTCTTTCCCTTCAGCCCAATCCAGAACAAACTTTTGCACAGAGACTGATTTCCCGATGCCAGCAACTCCTTTTGTCAGGACAGTTCTGATCTGCTCGTCTTGTTCAGCTGCTTCAAACAAATGTTTGCATTTAATCTGTATCTCTAGTGACTGATGACGTCTGGAAGCAGCTTCAATCTGTCTGATCTCATGTTCAGTGTTGACCTGTTCACTCGCACCCTGAGTGATATAGAGATCTGTGTAGATGTTATTCAGAAGTGTGGAGTCTCCTTGCTGAGCAATTCCTTCAAACACACTTTGATATTTCTTCTTCAGGCTACATTTAAGCTGATTAATGAAGAACAGCTCGCCTAAACACAGGAGCAAAAAAACAGAGAGATTTAGTCTTGACTTATTTTTAAGTGATAGTCTGACAGATCGCCATGAGTAGGGCCAGACAAAACTTTCAGACTTTTTTTTTTTGCTATTTCTGAGGAAAATTGTGTAGTATCATAACTAAAAACTTAATATATGAAACAAACCTTTTTAACTTATAAAATAATAATATTTAATGTTTACATACATATCTAGTTAGATCCACTTAATTGGTAAACAAAACACAAGACTCTTCAATAACAGATGTACTAAAGGACAGAAAATATGACTTTACAAACTGCACTGTCATCATCAACATTTTCATATTAGTCAACAATATTTCTGAAATTAATAAACTGAATGAATATAAATGAACACACATCTACACAGGTAAATAAATAGACTCAATGATGGGCTAAAAATCTGTGTAAATCTGCAGGTTTCGTGTGGGTCTATCCATGAGTCTCTTACCCTGGAGAGGTTCAGCAGCTTGATCTTGCTTCATCTCTCTCAGGAAGAAGAGTGTGAGATCAAGAGCTGCTTCTGTGATAATGCTTCTGTTCTCAATAAACTCCTTTATAAACTCTTGTCTGTTTTCTTCTTGTAAGATTTTCTTAAATTTCTCCAGTTCATTCTTCAGAAATCTGATAATTTTACTCTCAAGATTCTATGAGTGAAGAAAAGAGAAGATCAACATTTAACCAAAAGATTCATTTGCATACAGTTGTACATCCACAACATACTCGATAATCAAAAATACATTCTATTAAGAGTCTGTTAAATGCTTGATTCTGATTAGCTGATGAATATTTAAAGGTCATTTTCAGATAAACACAGCTAAAATTTATCCAAGCAGGTTTCCAGCACATTACACTTAAGGGGGTCACACACCGCATGCACTATTCAGCACCGCAACACATTTATCATTAATTATTTAATTTATCTCTGACAACCCCAAAAATAAATAACTATTTTTTAGCCATAAATTTTAAATAACGTGTCAAGAAGCTAAATACAGATGTATACACACTTTTTTATTAAACAAAACTTTTTTTTTTTTTAATTTGACATTTTAGAAATAATTATTGTCATGCCTCTGAAACAATGCACAGTCTGTGTCCTGGCTAAAGATCTCATATCACCAGTTAACTAAAAGGGGAATTAATCTCCTATTAAAGCAATCTTATTGTAGAAGATATAATTAACCCACATTAACAAATATAACTGTGAGCAAAATAAAGCAGGTGAAAAACAAACCGTGTGTGATAATGAAAGGATGGTCCCATTAACATTAGGCCTGTTAATAATCTGTTCAAAGAAGGGTGCTGCTTACAAAAATACATATTTTTAAAAATCTGGAGCTCTTGAAAGGAGGAGGACAGTGTGTGCACGAGCATCACCTTTTGCCAAGTCTATTTCTGTTTGCAGGCACAGTTGCCTCATTGAAAGGAAACAGGACTGCACACGCTTTTTAAACAGTTATCATCCTCTCATTCAGTATATACTGCTTGAACAAAGTTATTATTTAACAGTCCTGCCACTTCTCAATTCTAAGATCACATATTGGGCCGTCTTTATTGTCGAACCCTGCTTTTAAGAAAACCTCAATTTAAAAATGATTTCCAACCAGCCAAAGTGTCTAGTGAGAGCGACTGTCTTACCCGCCACAGCTGAACTCTACCCGCATTTGGCGGGTATAAATGTCAAGCCCTGATGTCATTTAAAATGAACCTATTCAGATGGCCCTCTGTGCCATGGCAGAAGTGTGAACAGTGTCTTGAGTCGTAGCTGGGCGTCGTGGACAGCCATGACTTGTGATATCTATGTGCGTAGCCTGATAGATATCTATGTTTAGAAATCTAAAATGCATGTGCGACCGCCTTTACATATCACTACTGCTGAATGATTTCAGACATTTCACAGTTACAAAGAACAAAAATTACACCAAACCACACTACAGTATTTGGATTAGATGCAAGAGACTAGTCCTACACACAGGAGCAGTTTGAGAACTAATACCTGACAAATGTCTGAAATACAACATCTGAACTGCTTTGGGAACTATAGTGCAATCAACATCTACACAAAGACATCTTGGCTAAATTTGGACTGTCAGTGAAAATCTAAAAGACGTCTAAGATTAGCTCTAATCTAGACTAGTCATCAAATACACATGAATGAACACAAACGTGTAAAGTTTAGCTAATTTAGTTTCTTTGTTGCTATATTTAGCGACTTAGCAGACTTTTCCAGTAACAAGATGTCAAAAGAATATTTTTATTTTTGGAGTCACTGGAGATTCTGGAGACTCTGTACTGTACCGTTCCTGCTCTTCTATATGAGCAGGGATTTCCAGCCATTTTAAAGCACCAACTGCAAATTATTCAGCAACTTTATTTCAAAACAACTTCTGGACCGAAGTCTCGAGAGAGTGAGGTATTTCCTTGGTACAGTCAGATCTCTGCTTCTCCTTTGTTTTAAATTTAATCACTTTAATATTTGGCAGCAGTTACTGAACTTGTGTGTTTATCATGTGAGAGAGATTACTGTACACAACACAGGTTTGAGAGGAGTGAGATTTTTCATGACTAATCAATCCTTGTCACATGGCTATATAAGCAGCAGCCATTACACCGTGTCAGCTGACAGTTTTAACAGATTCAGATATGCAAACTTATGCATATGTCACCTAGTGACACCTAGTACATTCATAATTACAACAAAACTAGAAGTTCTTTTAAAATGAGTAAAACTGACAGGGAGTTGTGTTTTGTGACCATCCTGAAATTACAGAGTGTGTTTCTATTGGGGACTAATTCATCATCTCCTCCCGTCTGTTTCTACTGTGCTGTTTGTCTTCTCCAGTCTGCATTTCAGAAATGTGTTAAATAAGACCCTCCCTCACCTCACGGTTGGGATAACTAGATAACTAGAAAACAACTTTTTGCCTTGTCGAAATCATGAGAAATTAAGTCACGATCACAAGAAAACAAGAAAATTTTGTTTAATGTATGGCGCTCCATAGCTTAAGACAGGTCAAGCAGGTTACAAGATCCAGTTCTTAAAAGTGTTGTGAGCAAATATTTCTGTGTTTCATGGAGCTATTTTAGAGACATTAATTAATCAAAATGAGTTTTTCCCACCTGGACGATCGACTGGAGATTGTCTGTGAAGCTCTTGTGTCTCCTGTGAGTCTCGTCTCCTGAATCTGCGTGACTCATATTCATCACTGTTAACAGATAAAACTACTGTAATCATACATTTACAGGCAAACACATACAGATATTCAGTCATTCATTTGCCTACGGCACTATTCTTTTATTTATCAGGCGTCACCACAGCAGAATGAACTATTCCAGCATATGTTTTACACAGTGAATGCCATTCCAGCTGCAACCCAGTACTGGGGAAACACCCATACATGCTTCAAGAGTTCACACTTAGCTGATGATTGATTATAAAGCTTGTTTGGCATGCCGCCCCGGGAGAGAGCCCTGAGCTCATAAGATCCTCGAGCCCGGGGCTCCCTCCTGTTGCAAGGCGAGAGGGGAGTTTGAGCTCAGGTAGATCTGGAGAAATCCCCTGGTGTAGTAGCTAATGAACAGATAGTAATTGCTTTTAAGAGATAACTACTTACTAGGAGCATGTCAGTGGTGCCGATTTGGATTAGTCAAATCACTTAAGCTGCATGTTTTTGGACGGTGGGAGGAAACCAGGAAACCCGGGGGAAACCCATGTGAGCCTGGGGAGAAGGTGTAAACTCCGCACAGAAATGTCTGCTGGTTTTGTCATTGACCAGAACCAAAGACGTTCTTGCTGTGAGGCAACAGTGCTAACCACTGGGCCACCGTGCCACCCATCTAGAAAAGAAAGATGAGTTGGGGTGGAAGGGGGGATTCTTCAAAAGAAAGATGGCTGTGATATGAAACCAAGGGCACTTACAGTGGACTAGGAATTTTCTGATTGGTGAATCGTGAATTGGATAATGCAGGGCAGCTACGAGCAAACATAAGATGTGATCCTCTCGACATTAGTTTATAAAGAAACTTCATTCATTTACAAGACCTCAGAAAGTAGCTGTGGATACAAATATTTTTAAAAGAAATATTTGATTTACTGATTATTATTACACAAAAGCCTTAAGCTGCAACAGCTATGATTATTTTTCAAATCTGTATTCAGACACATTTACTTAACAGTTTTGGCTGTAAACATCTTTTATATTCTAATAGTGAGGAAACGATGATGAAGAATTTGAATTGAAGTGAATAATCAATACATGTATGTGTTAAATTGACATGGAAATATGAAATTATGATTTACTGAAAATGCTCTGATTAAAAGAACTAAATCTGCCACCAGGAGTCTGTAAATGTCTTAATAAGCCACTAAAGTCATTCAGGAATGGCTCTCTTTACTGAAATGTTGGTTCACAATAACATGTTTGAAACAGTCCATGTTTGAGCAATAAAGTAAAACCCTGAATACCTTTGAGCAGATGATGGTGTTTCCTCTCTGAGGTCTGGTGGATAACCTTTAGACCAGTCACTCTTCAGAGACAGAGCTGGACACACATGATCCTGATCTCACACTGAACACACAAACACACCAGAGGAAAATGAGTGTCACAACCTGGTCTAACTTTATATGAACAAGAGGATATTTTACTGCCAGAGTAATTTCAGATGCATTATTAAAGTTACAAACAGCAGTTTAATGGTCAGATATTTGTCCTTATCAGGAGTATGGAAGAAGACAGAAGAATTTAAGATAATGATATAACACTGTTCTTGTGTTTCTTAATTATTGTGCCTGTAAAGTGTTGTGAAAGTATAATAAAAACATCCTGATGAATACTGAAACAGTCCATGTGTGAGCAATAATGTACAAGACAGCATACTTTTGTGCAGATGATGATGTGGTGGATAATCTTTAGACCGGTCACTCTTCAGAGACACAGAGCTGGACACACGTGATCCTGATCTCACACTGAACACACAAACACACCAGAGGAATAAACTGCAGGACAAACTTCAGTCTCCTTTAAGAGTTTTATTGGTTTGTTCAGTTTAATTCAGCACAAACAAATTTTTGGCTGAAGGTCTGTCTGATCAGGTCTGAAACACAGGAATCATGGGTAAACATGACACACATTGAGCTCTGGTAAATATGACCCCAGATCGAGCTGTCTGTAATCTAGAATGATCTAAACACATTTGCTGAAGCTGTAAACTGAAGCTTTGTCCATCATTTGATCAGGCAATAGCAACACAAATAAGTGCATTGTTGTTGGTGTTTGTTCTTTAGAGAAAGTGTTGAAATAATGGTGTAAAAACAGAGTCAATACCTGAGCAAACAATTATTGGTATTGGTCGGGTCATATATTAACTGAACTTCTGCTGTTGTGTGTGACATGCTGTGCATCCTAACTAGCATTTCTGCAGAAGTAGATACACACAGGTCCAAAAATAAATTCAGCTCTGCAGAAACTTCCTGTCTGAAGAAAGGTGTTAAAGCTGAACACAGAGCACAGAAAGTGTTATGCTTTTATTGCTGTGCAGAGAATTGGTAGAAAAAGAGGACTTATGTCTGGGGTGCGGCCAAGGGAGGACTGGACAATGATTGACAAATGAAGAATTTCACTAAACTTCACCTGTTAATATCAGCTGCCTATATAAGTTGAAGTCAAGAAAAGAAAGTTGTTGCGCACCTCCTTAATGTAACTTCTGCGTTGCATTGAGGACAACAGAATACTGTGAATCGAACTACCCTTACAGAAATTTCACATGAGTTTCACATGTGAAATTCACATGTGATCACATGTGCATGTGAAATTGCACATGTGAAATTTTACATGTGAAACACACAAACCACATGTGAAATGCACATGGGATCACATGTGATCACATGGGAAAATGTGTGTATTTGGAACGCTTTTGTGTGAATTCACATGTGATCACATGGGAAAACGTGTGTATTTGGAACGACTTTGTGTGAATTTTCATGTGAACCACATGTGATCACATGGGAAAACGTGTGTATTTGGAACGATTTCGTGTGAATTTTCATGTGAATCACATGGGAAAACGCGTGTATTTGGAACGCTTTCATGTGAATTTTCATGTGAACCACATGTGATCACATGGGAAAACGTGTGTATTTGGAACGCTTTCGTGTGAATTCACATGTGATCACATGGGAAAACATGTGTATTTGGAATGTTTTCGTGTGAATTTACATGTGATCACATGGGAAAACGTGTGTATTTGGAACGCTTTCGTGTGAATTTACATGTGATCACATGGGAAAACGTGTGTATTTGGAACGATTTCGTGTGAATTTTCATGTGAACCACATGTGATCACATGGGAAAACGTGTGTATTTGGAATGCTTTCGTGTGAATTCACATGAGATCACATGGGAAAACGTGTGTATTTGTAACGCTTTTGTGTGAATTCACATGTGATCACATGGGAAAACGTGTGTATTTGGAACGATTTCGTGTGAATTTTCATGTGAACCACATGTGATCACATGGGAAAACGTGTGTATTTGGAACGATTTCGTGTGAATTCACATGTGATCACATGGGAAAACGTGTGTATTTGGAACGATTTCGTGTGAATTCACATGTGATCACATGGGAAAACGTGTGTATTTGGAACGATTTCGTGTGAATTTTCATGTGAACCACATGTGATCACATGGGAAAACGTGTGTATTTGGAACGATTTCGTGTGAATTTTCATGTGAACCACATGTGATCACATGGGAAAACGTGTGTATTTGGAACGATTTCGTGTGAATTCACATGTGATCACATGGGAAAACGTGTGTATTTGGAACGATTTCGTGTGAATTCACATGTGATCACATGGGAAAACGTGTGTATTTGGAACGATTTCGTGTGAATTTTCATGTGAACCACATGTGATCACATGGGAAAACGTGTGTATTTGGAACGATTTCGTGTGAATTTTCATGTGAACCACATGTGATCACATGGGAAAACGTGTGTATTTGGAACGATTTCGTGTGAATTCACATGTGAACACATGGGAAAACGTGTGTATTTGGAACGATTTCGTGTGAATTCACATGTGATCACATGGGAAAACGTGTGTATTTGGAACGATTTCGTGTGAATTTTCATGTGAACCACATGTGATCACATGGGAAAACGTGTGTATTTGGAACGATTTCGTGTGAATTTTCATGTGAACCACATGTGATCACATGGGAAACCGTGTGTATTTGGAACGCTTTTGTGTGAATTCACATGTGATCACATGGGAAAACGTGTGTATTTGGAACGCTTTCGTGTGAATTTACATGTGATCACATGGGAAAACGTGTGTATTTGGAACGCTTTCTTGTGAATTCACATGTGATTTCATGGGAAAACGTGTGTATTTGGAACGATATCGTGTGAATTTTCATGTGAACCACATGTGATCACATGGGAAAACGTGTGTATTTGGAACGCTTTTGTGTGAATTCACATGTGATCACATGGGAAAACGTGTGTATTTGGAACGATTTCGTGTGAATTTTCATGTGAACCACATGTGATCACATGGGAAAACGTGTGTATTTGGAACGCTTTTGTGTGAATTCACATGTGATCACATGGGAAAACGTGTGTATTTGGAACGCTTTCGTGTGAATTTACATGTGATCACATGGGAAAACGTGTGTATTTGGAACGCTTTCTTGTGAATTCACATGTGATCTCATGGGAAAACGTGTGTATTTGGAACGATATCGTGTGAATTTTCATGTGAACCACATGTGATCACATGGGAAAACGTGTGTATTTGGAACGATTTCGTGTGACTTTTCATGTGAACCACATGTGATCACATGGGAAAACGTGTGTATTTGGAACGATTTCGTGTGAATTTTCATGTGAACCACATGTGATCACATGGGAAAACCTGTGAATTTTAACGTTTTTGTGTGAATTCACATGTGAACCACATGTGCATTCACAAGTGATCACATGGGAAAATGTTTGTATTTAGAATTTTGATGGTGAGCATTGAAACATGCGTTCCCATGTAAAAATCTCTTGTGGCTTTTCTCTTGTGTACTTCACACCATAAAATTTGTGCATTAGTGTGAACAAAAATTATTCTTAAACTTAAATATAAATACAAACAATTTATTGTCAATTATATAAAATCACAACAATTATTTACTGAAATACCTTGAGGGGAAAACTGTCACTAATATAATGTGAATACAAAAGGGGCCACATGGTAGCTCCGTGGTCATCACTGTTGCCTCAAAGCAAGAAGGTCACTGGTTCGAGTCTCAGGTGTGCCAGGTGTGGAGTTTGCATGTTCACCCTATGCTTGCGTGGGTTTCCTTCGGGTGCTCTGGTCAATTCTGCATATGAGAGCATCTGGTGAAAAAAGCATGTACCACAGTAATTGCTAGTTCATTCTGCTGTGATGACCCGTGATGAAAAGGGAAAGAAAAGCCAAGGGAAAGTGAGTTTTGCTTTTGACGAGTTTGTCCTTTTGGTTCATGTTAATGACTTGATCTTGTAATCTGTAAGAAAAAAATACAAAACTTATTTTTAATAAAAGAAACTACCAAATGCTCAAATGCATACACGTGAATGCAAAATGAATTCATAGTATTTAGATCACATTTTTTCACATTAGCAGAAATAGGTAGTAATGAAGTACAAACTTTGTTACTTTACTTAAGTAGATATGTCTAGTGTCAGTATTATACTCCACTGTTAACGTTTTCTGAAATATTTTTCTTTTACTTCTTACATTTGAATACAAATCTACTCCTTACATTTTTAAATCAGGCTCGTTACTTTCGCTTTAATGTGCTTTGTGGAGCAGACGTAGCTTTAATATAATGCAAAAAATATGTAGTCAAATACATTTAGTTTTTTTATATTATCAAAAGAAAAAAACTGAAATATGTTTTGAAAAAAAATTAGGTGTTAAATTTAAGACATTTATTAGTTATAAATATATAGGCCTACAGAATTATATTCAAGAGTATACAAACAAGTATGACAGCTTCTGTTCTTAACAGCTATAGTGTTTTGTGTTCAGCTGATGATACACAGGGCTCGAAATTAACCTTTTTTTCTTGGTAGCACCGGTGCTCCTAACTTCAAAGATTTGGGTGCACCAGACAAAATTTAGTCGCACCCACCGACAAATATGAGCACCGTTACTAAACGTTTTATGTTAACAGATTCCAATATATATTACCACTCTAATCACAACTAACAAATAAACAAAAATCTGCATGCGCTCACTGGCCCTGCATGCACTGCTTGACGTGAATGAGATGAACTGAATTAACTATAATAACTGTGCTGTTCTTATGGGTGGTGTCTGATACTGCACAGATGCTATTGACATATAACTTATTATTTGCATATGTCACCGTAATATATAACGGTCTTTTCATGAACTGCAATATTAGTTTCATCTCAGTGAATGCATGCTCTTTAGCGATGGTGACTGCGGTATCAGTCGCACGATTAACAGCATTGTGATGATTAAATAAAGGATTAAATAACGGTTGAACATTCATTCATTTTTTTCCGGCTTAGTCCCTTTTTTAATTCGGAGTCGCCAACTTATCCAGCATCTGTTTTACGCAGCAGATGCCCTTCCAGCTGCAACCCATCTCTGGAAAACATTCATACACACCCAATCACACGTATACACTACGGACAATTTAGCCTGCCCAATTCACCTATACTGCATATCTTTGGACTGTGGGGGAAAACGGAGCACCCGAAGGAAACCCACACGAATACAGGGAGAACAAGTAAACTTCACGTTAGAACATCTCGTGCTTAAAATGTGTAGATTAAGTGGCAAACACTGTTACCTAAAAACTCCATCCCACCAGTTTTACAGTGAATGCTATAATCATTTTCATAGCGGACTTTGAGCACTAGATGTCTTTTATCCACTCTTCGAAAAGTGTAAATGCTGGATTGACATTCTCCACATAATGACTAATCAGATGTGCCATGATTTGTAACTGTAGATGGTTTCTAAAACTAAATCTATCAGTGTTGTTTTCATTCTCTCTTATCCAGACCTTTGCATTTTTGCAGCTGTAGCTCCCTGTCATCGGAACTGAGTGATTGACAGCTGATATTAACCAATCCATTCGCATTCTGTTCTAGCGCAATGGGCCAATAAAAAAAGCTTAAAGACGCGGGCTTTGCTTAGTGCAGCAAGTTGACGTGTTAACTGTTATAAACTATTCTTTAGTGCTGCGTTTGGTGTTTTTAGGTGTAAAGATGCTTGCGTGAATGCCTCCTAATTCCGCGCATGTGGTGAACATTTTTCTGTGAAAACAACAATTTTATGCACTCGCATAAGTGCTGCCAAATACATTTTGAGGTCGCAAAGATAAAACTTTGGGCGCATATGCGACCAAAACAGTCGCAATTTCAAGCCCTGTAGGATGATGTTGCTTGGCTACTTTGCAGCTAAAAATTGGCAACAACTTTTTTTACAAAAAAAAAAAATTGAAATGTAAGTAATTTTGTATAAATGTATGCATTTTGTGAGGTGTAGTTACCACCATGAAACTAAAACAGATATTAGTAATGAATACTTTTTACTTAAGTACATATTTCAGGCTGTACTTATTTACTTTTACTTGAGTAGAAAAGTCTAGTCCGTAGTTTAACTTTTACCAGAGTATCTGTACTTCTACTTGAGTAAAGGATGCATGTACATTTGCCATCTCTACGCATTAGAGATAGCAAACGCTATAAAAGTTACCTGTTAAGACATTAACTTTGTGCACTGGAAGTGCTCCTTACTAGCCTCTGTATTGGGTGTATTTTCTCTTTTCAGACACTGATTGACTGCCCGTTTTCACTCCCTCTCCCAAAGTGATATAAACGATTACCTATCAAGAAACATCAGATGTTAAAAACAGAAAAAACTGTATACAGGGTGATTCAAAAGGAATCCCACAAATTTGAAAATCGAAAACTCTGCAAAGAAGAAAAGGGGAGCTAAGCTCTTTCTGTCGTCGATTTAAGGAAGCTCTGAAGTTTCATTTGGTTACTCATTAGGTCGCTAGGAGAGCTGTTGTCATCATGTTTCTTTGATTAAATACAGATTTTCAAAGTTGTGTTATTCTTTTTGAATCACCCTGCAGTCACAGACTGTTAACTGCTATAAAACAAAGTACCTATAAGGAATCTGTAGACTAAGAAGGTAGAACTAGTGGCTAGTAAAAGATTTTGCTTTATTAATAATAATAATAATATATATATATATATATATATATATATATATATATATATATATATATATATATATATATATATATATATATATATATATATATATATATATATATATATATATATATATATATATATATATATATATTTTTTTTTTTTTTTTTTCTTTAATAAGAAATACCTTCTAGGCAATCAAAATACAAACTTAGACTATGGTACAAAAAAAAGGCAAAACTGTATAATTGAGACAACTGTCGACTTCCTTGAATTGTAGCATTGTCCTTTGAAGATGGTTAAGTCTCCAATGTGTCAGGCTTCTTCTTTAAAATAACCATCATCTTTATATTTCCCAAGCTGTACTTTTTAAACCCCTGCACATCATTGATTTCTGTACAAAAAGCAAAGAGAAACAATCAACCACTGTGACAGATTTTTGTAACACCAATATTAGTCTATAATATCTAATCTTAAAACTTCATTAATACAAGTAGAGAGAGAGAAAGAGAGAGAGAGAGAGAGAGAGAGAGAGAGAGAGAGAGAAAGAAAGAGAGTCAGACAAAACTAAAAATGATATCATATCTATGTTCATTAACATCTTACACATATTAATCCTGTATGCTATAATCTTCATAAAAAGTAAGATTAAGTTAACATGCAATAATGAAGATTGAATTAAAGTTTTGTATCACAGGGATAAATGAAGTTTTACAATAAATTAGAAATTAACTTTACATTGTGAAACGTATTAAATTTTAAAAATTGGTTTTAGTGTATTTTAAAGTAAGTACATGCAGCCACACGTCTTTCAATATTGTTTAAATAATCTTACCATCTAAAACGTTTAAATGCTAGTGTATCTCAATAAAAAGATAAGTTAAACAAAATATAAACCAATGTTTCTGGAAAGGATGGACAAGCCTTTAAAATAATGACAGATCTACAAAACTGTTATTAAGTACTTTTGAAATCAAATACATAAAATAAACAAGTAGCTTCTGCTTACCTTAATATCTATTATTGTATCTATTCCATTATTTACATTTAGGACATTTCAATTTAAAACCAAGCACAATAGTCATTTAGATCAGGTTTATAAAACCCTATTCAATTAAATTTTAGTTAATGTGTTAAAAGAGAATTCTGGATTAATACAAATTAATACATCACTAATACAGTTGCATCAATTACAACATTTGCAGTGTTTTAAGCAAGTGAATGAGCTCGGATATCTTTTGGCGCGCGTTTGACTGGTATCACTGGCTTGGTCAAATATTCTGAACATATTCTCTTTTTTTGTTGTTGTACTTGCAGAACCAACTTTTAAGGTTACGTTAAGTTTCTCTACACATCCTAAATTATAAAGTTGTGAGGACAGTATATGAATATGCACTTACCGCTGAATTATACCGCTGAAGATGATAAGGTCAAAATGGTCCAGCTTCTCCAAAAAACGTAGCCCTCTCTTTTGTCCTTTGACCGTGACTTCTTATTTTAACTGTGGTACGATAGTGTTCATATGTGAATGGCATTTACAGTTAATATATCAACAAACACGTATTTTATCTTCATTTCGCGACCGAAATAAGGAGACAAAACGGACAAAAGATTGCTAAACGACCGTTAAGAAACTGCGTTTGTTTGTGAATCCTTGTTGTCAGGACAACGCGCGCGTTGCCGCGAATGCTCTTCTGTGATGAACGCGCGCGCAAGTTCACCCCAGTTGCGTAAGAGTGCCTCGTGGTCGCATAATTCAAAAGCAAAATCGCAAAATGTGTGAGTACGCATTTAAAGCGAGCGCCTTCTGTCTTCTTCGTGCTCGAGAAAGAGTAGTATAAGTTACTGTAGCTTGTAACTGCTTCATTTAAAAGGGTTTAAAAAAAAGACTCGACTCTAGGAATCGAATCCTGTCTTGGAGTCGACTCTGGCACTACGTCCATTGAGAGTCGAGGAATCGACTCTTTTGAAGTCGACTCTCAATTCCCTACAGACTGATTCAGAAATCCATTTATTTTTTGCCATTGTACTCATGTACACAATATTAAATCTCATTACATTTTTACTTTTTATAAATCATGTTTTTTGAACCCAAGAAACAACATACAACTTTATATTTAAAAATTACTAAAACAGAATTATCATTGCAAATAAACTCTTCAAATTCTATTTAAGTTACTTGTTTCCAAAACATCCCTGAATAAAAGTACAAAAAAATGTAGCAAGTACAGCACAGCATTGCCACAGCATTGGGAAATTGGATATTAGATTATATATCAGCACAATGCACAAGTGTAGTAAAGTTGTACATGAATATACTGCAAATTGTACTGTTGTTGATGTAATTTTATTAGAATTTTATAGTTCATTATTTTGCAGTTGCACATAATTTTACCTCATTTATCCTCCTTTATAATGCTGTTATACTGCAGTTTTGCACTTATTCACGGTATAGTGTTGGTCATCATGAAATATGGTTTTCAGATGATGATGTTTTTCACATGTGGGTTCATGTGATCACATGCTGTCCACATGTGGACAGCATGAATTTTACATGTTGTCCACATTTGGTCACATTGACTTCATATGTGGTCAAAGGTGATCACATGTGGCCCTATGAACTTCACATGTGGCCACATGAATTTCACATGTTGTCCACGTGGTCACATAAACTTCACATGTGGTCACATGAACACATGTGGTCGTGAGCTTCACATGTGGTCACATAAACTTCACATGTGGTAACATGAACATAATCGTGAGCTTCACATGTGGTCACATTGACTTCACATGTGGTAACATGAACTTCAAATATGGCCACACGAACTTCACATGTGGCCACATAAATTTCACATGTTGTCTACGTGGTCACATAAACTTCACATGAACACATGTGGTCGTGAGCTTCACATGTGGTCACATAAACTTCACATGTGGTCACATGAACACATGTAATCGTGAGCTTCACATGTGGTCACATTAACTTCACATGTGGTAACATGAACTTCAAATATGGCCACACGAACTTCACATGTGGTCACATGAACTTCACATGTTGTCCACATGTGGTCACATAAACTTCACATGTGGCCATGTGTGATCACATAAACTTTACATGTGGCCATGTGTGATCACATAAACTTCACATGTGGCCACATGAACTTCACATGTTGTCCACATGTGGTCACATAAACTTCACATGTGGTCATGTGTGATCACATGTTGTCACATGTGATCACATGTGGTCACATGTGATCACATGTGAAATTCATGTGACTATTCTGTAAGGGTATTCATTTGTATCCAATAAATTGTTACAATTTTTGACATTGAAGAAAAACCTCTCCTGACCTTTTTTATTGATCACGCATGGAATTGATTAATATTCTAATACTAATTACCCTAACCTGCCTAATTATCCTAGTGAAGCCTTTAAATGTGACTTTAAGCTGTATAGAAGTGTCTTGAAGAATATCTAGTCTAATATTATTCACTGTCATCATGACAAAGAGAAAATAAATCAGTTATTAGAGATGAGTTATTAAAACTATTATGATTAGAAATGTGCTGGAGAAATCTGCTCTCCGTTAAACAGAAAAAATTAATCAGGGGGCGAATAATTCTGACTTTAACTGTATGTTTGGCTTTTGATACATCCTTTAAAATACGTGGCTAAGAGATTAGAGCTTTTAACTTTGTTTTTATTTGTGGGGCCGGTGAAAATTTTGGCAGGGCAAGTAAGCATCTGAATCCCTGGCCCAGTAGGAAAAATCTTTAGGGCCCAATCATACACCCGGCGCAATGTAGCGCAAGGCGCGGCGCAATAGGCTTTTGCTATTTTCAGCTTGGTGCAAGAGTCATTTTGAGGCGTTGCGCTACGCTGTTTAAATAGCCAATGCATTAGCGCTCATATGTGTGCTCATAGGCGTTCTGGTCTAAAAAGGAAGGAGTTCTGAGGCGGACCGCTGGCGCGTCGCTATTTTGAGAAACTATAATTGATTTTTCATTAGACAAAAACAAACCCGGTCTAAACTCCGGCGCAGAGTTGCGCAGAGCTTACACACTGCTTAATACACACAAGATGTAGAGCAATACGAAAATATCTTTACACATGAAAAAATAAAATATTAAGGATATATATAGGATATAATAAGAATAGATATAGAATATAAATATAAAGGATTAAAATATTACAAAACATATTATTTTCTAGCCTACAGAAATATGAAAAATCACTGCTTTTATGTCTTCTTCATCTCGGGAGGCTTTTTCAGTTCATTCATAACAATTTGCTTTTGTATAATGTTATTATTATTAGCAGTATTATTTATTATATCCATATTTATCTTTGTTTTATTAAAAACAAGCTTAGATTTGCCCACCTGTCAGGTTTTAGACCATATGGGGCACAGCATGTGTTTTAGGATATAACTCAGTATTTTGAACACACTTCGTTATTGTTGTTCATTTATTAATTTGCTGGAAATTAGAACTGAATTTAGAAATAGTTTTGAAACAAATCTTTGCGCTAAACAAACTAAATTAATTTTTAATATGCTAATTGATGTCTGTGCGTAAAGGTTTCCCTATCCAAGAGCGAAAGTAAAAGTAGATAGATTATCTCTCATCCCTGCGCAGTAGATGCTCTGTTTAACTGTTTTCTGTTAAAAAACTGTTAACTGTTAACTGTTTGCTAGTGAAATGCTCAGTTTTTCCACTTAGACTTACTTTACGTCCTGTAAATAGCAAATGCGTTTATAGCATGACGCAGCTGGCTCTTAAAGGTAATGGGAGATGAGACTCTGATTGGTTTATTCTCAAAACACACCTATAACTCATTAAGAAAAAACTCAACCCTTTTAGGCAATGCGCCACAGCACAAAGCGGATTTTCCTGTTTTTAAATTAGCAAACATGGATTCTGACACATCCAGAAAGCATTTGCGCCCTGCGCTTTGCGCATTGACCGTCAAAATAGAGCCCCTTAAGAGTTGAACCCTGTGTTCGTTTAACCCCTGATCTGACACCTCAGAGGGACATTATAAAATGCTTAACGTAGAAAAAAAGCTCAGACCACAAGTTTACCCCCCACTGCTGGTCTCACTAACAGCACTTCCATCAGCAACCCAGCTTTTCCATGTGGTCTACCATCTAGGTACAGACCGGGCGCAGCCTTGCTCAGCTTCAGTGAGTGACCATGTGAGAGTTGCAGAAAGCTAGCTGCCGGCTAATTGAATTAATTATAGTTTAATATAAGCTCTGAACACTGCATCTTAAATGTAAGGAACAGGGAAAGAGACTAAAGGGAATAATAAAGTTTGGGTTTTAATATTAACCCAGTATTTGTTGCTTCCCTTTTTCTCTGTTTTTATATTAATATGTATCATTATTTACTTATTGATTTGATTATTTATGGATCAATCTTTGCATTAATGTTAATTGTTTGGTTGTTGTTTTCTTGAGTTTTTAATGTATATTTTTTTACTAAGTAATGCATTTTCAGTTTTGGCTATTTATTGCTCGCTGTCTTTCATTGCAGGGTTTTTACTTTTGGAATTAATAAATAAAAATAAAAAACTCAAGCTAGAATCTTTTATAGAGGCTTCAGTCTGTTTGCTAAATTAATGAAATATGTTATAAACACTCCAGAAGCATGCAAAGTAGGAATCACTGCTCCCTTTATTAAAGATAATAAGTTTAATTCTTCATTTGTTAAGCTGCTAGTTGACAGAAACAGCGCTGTTGTAAAATGTCCAAGTCATTCAGACAGTTATTAAGTAGAAGAAATTAAGCTTTACTTTTCTGTTTCATTGATTGTACTTAATAAGCAATATAATCATTGTGGGCTGGTTTGCAATGGCAATACTCCACTGTTTAGAGCGAGGTAGGACCCCAAAATGATTTTGCTTAGGGCCCCCAAATGTACAGGGCCGGCCCTGCCTTTTCCTTATAATGGACTTCAATGGGGAGAAAACGCTTAACGTGAGTTTTTTTCCCTTTATCTGGACAATTGGGACTCGTTTTTTCAACAGTAGTTAGGATGAATTACAAGAAAAGTTTGACAGAAGTTTAGGTTTCTCTGGTAGATGTTTTGGTATGTTAATTTTTATTTATTTTTTTTATGTTAAGTGTTTTATAATGTCCCACCTCAGATATTTCACATTTGATACGTGCATACTATACAGTATGTCTGTCACAACAACTTCCGTAAAAGCCAGCTATTTATTTATTTATTAGCTTAGTTAGTAGTTAGTTAGCACTAAAACAGTTAAATGCAGTTCAAGGAACATCAATAATTGAGGTAAAGTTGGTTTTATATTCACACATTCAGACTTTCTCCTTAATAAGATTATTTCAGAAAAGTCTTGTAAATAGCGAGATCATATTAGCAGGTGATCACTATCAAAATGTACAAGACTGTTCACGGTCAATTAAACAATGCTAATGTTTTAAAGTCGTACTTGCATGTGATTTTAGTCTGAATGGTCAAAGTACCACGGTAAACAGTGTATGGAGCTGTCACTGGACGAAAGTGCGAATATAAACCAGCTTATAGAGGTAAAGTTGGTTTTATATTCACACATTCGTTCATTTAGAAGTCTCTATATTATTTACCATGTTACTTTGAATATTCGATTATGACTTGAAAACAACTTCAACACTGTTTATTTGACTGTGAACAATGTTGTACTTTGATAGTCATTAGCTGCTAATATGATTTCACTGTTTGCAGTTTGCAAATAATACTTTAAAGAAATTATATTATTAGGGGGAAAGTTTGAATGTGTGAATATAAAACCAGCTTTACCTCAATCCGCATCTTCCTGTTAACGGAAGCTCTGCTTTCACT